GATGGTTAACTTTTGAAAAAACTGCCAAACTGTCTTCCAAAGTATTTGTACTATTTTACTTTCTAACCAGTCTTGTAGGAGCGTTCCAGTTGCTCTACATCCTCATCAGCACTTGGTGTGGTTGGTCTTTTTAAGTTTAGTTATTTTAATAGGTATGTAGTGGTATCTAATTGTGGTTTTAATTGCTTTCTCTAATGAATAGTAATGTTGAGTATCTTTTTATGTGCTAATTTGTCATTTGTATATCTTTGATCATTTTTAAAATTGGTTGGTTGTTTTCTTCTTATTGGTTTTGAGAGTTTTCTTATATATTCAGGATATAAGTCCTTTATTGGATGGTCCTTTAATAGTCGTTTATTAAATGCTTTGTAAAGATTTTCAACTGTCTGCTTTATCTTTCATTTTCTTCCTGTGTCTTTTGAAAAGAGCATACTTTTTAAATTTTGAAGTCCAATTCATCAATTTGTTCTTTTTTGATTGTGCTTTTGATATCATATTAAGAAAATTTGTCACAGAGATTTCTTCCTACTATTTCTAGCCAAATTTTATAGTTTTGCATTTTACGATTAGGTCCATGGCCCATTTTGAGAGTTCATTTTTGTTAATTGTTCAAGGAATAGATCAATTTTTTTTTCATATCTAAATATTCTAGCACCTGCTGTTCAAAAGATTATCCCTTCTGTACTGAACTGCATTTGCATCTTTGTTGAAAATCAGTTTTCCATACATGTGGGGGTCTATTTTTGGATTCTTTATTCTGTTTTGTTGATCTATTTGTTTGTGTTTCCTCTAATATCATACTGCATTGATTATTGTAGATTTATAGTAAGTCTTAAAATTTGAGGGTATTAGTCTCCCAACTTTGGTTTTCTTTTTCAAAGTTATTTTGTTTTTTCTAGGGCCTCTGCATTTTCATATGAATTTTAGAATCAGTTTGTCAGTTTCTGCAACAACTTTTGGGATTTTGATAGGGATTATGTTGAATCTACAATTTGGAGAGTATTGCTATTTTAAATCTATGTTAAGTCTTCCAATCAATGAACACAGGATGTCTTTCCATTTACTTAGGTCTGCTTTAATTTCTTTCAGTGATCTTTGTAGTTTTCAGTGTACAAGTCTTGTACTTATTTTGTTTTAAGTTTATTTATAAGTATTTTATTCTTTTTGGTGTTACTATAAGTGGAATTGTTTTCTTAATTACATTTTTGGATTGTTCATTTCTAGTGTGTAGAAGTACAATTGAATTTTGATATATTGATCTTGTATCTTCCAACCTTGCTGGACTCATTTACTAGCTCCACTAGGTTTTTTTTTTTTGCAGATTCCATAGGATTTTCTGTATACAAGATCATGTCATCTGCGAATAGAGACAGCTTTATTTCTTTCTTTCCAGTGTGTGTGCCTTTTATTTATTTTTCTCTCTCTTTCTTTTTATTGGGTGTTAGCATGATATATCTTTTGGTATATAGCATGGTATACCTTTTACTTTTAATTACTTTGTGTTTTGGTATTTGAAGTGTGTTTTTTGCAGGCAGCATTTAAGTTGGGTCTTTCTGTCAAGATCTGAGCTGGAGAGAGCCAAGCTGCCAGGTGCCCTTTAGTTATGCTGGGATTGTAAGGGAGTTAACACCCATCAGACCTGCCCTCAAACAATAACAGCCATGAGATGGTAGATGAATAAATCTACACCTCCCAGATGACTCCAGAAATACTGAGCCCCAGCTGACAGTGGTAAACTGCTTATGTAATGCAGTCAGTATTGGCTTGTTCAAGGAACTCGCCTTCCTAAGAAATCCTTTGGCATTTTGTATCTTCTTTTCTCTCTATCTCTGTCTCTTTCAACAGTGTACTATAGTTATTGACATATGTGCCTTATGTTCCCTTCTAGATCATAAGCTTTTCCAGGGCAAGTATTATAGTCACCATATATTTAATATGTGACCTAACATTTCAGTGGCCCTCTCTCAGTAGTTATTGAATGAACAACTTTGAAGGTTTTGACAACTTAAGTCTTAAGATTTCTTTACAACTGTAAACGAATGGTCAATATTTCCAATCATGCTGACTCTACTCTAGAACCTACTCTTCAGTAAGAAAGCCTTGCTGTTGCTGCTAGATAACCTACTATCTTTCCATTGGGCCCCTCAAATATTTCTGAAGTCCTTGAAGTTAATTTCTACTCATGGCTTTCTAACTGTGAATATGTAAAAGAATGTGACCTTTTTTTTCAAAGTAGTCAACTTGTAATAAATCTTAATTATTTCATGTATGCTACCATGGCTTGGCCTTGAGCACCTATAGAATATTCTTATGCGTATCTTAACTGGTGGCAGATTTCATCGTATCTGTCACAATTCAAGTTTTTACCATCTTTAGTGCAACACTATTTCTCCTTGGAAAGTATACCTCCATTCCAAAGCTGTAACTGATACATCACGTTTGTATTCAGGGATCTCTCCGTTAATTTGCAAACCTCTTGTATAGTGCCTTCAAGTTCTACTCTTGTTTCTTATTTACTGAATGTATTCTGAAAAGACCATTGTAAATAATGTCTTATAGTTTATTTTAATTAGAACCTGTGCTTAATGGCTAGCCGTGTGTGAGAAAACATTAATACCATCTGTCCCAGTGTCGATGGTTTCCAGAAGAACAGCTGGGCCATGAGAACTTGAATTCAGCCAGACAATGCCTAGGTCTGATTTCATCAGACTGGTGCAAGGTGGACTCTCACTTCATCAAACATTTTGCTACTTCTCTGCCTGTAAGCCAGAGCTTGCAGGGCTCTGACAGAGCCCTTTGATTCTTTGAATCCCCCCCAAAGAGTTCACCTACCAATGTCTAACTAATGGAAACATTTCAGGGATTATCCGGGAAGACTTGCAAATATATCTGTTTTGTGTCTCTGTATGCTGGGGAAAAAAATATGTTTTTTTTGGTACTTTATTGCATATGGGATAGAAGTAATTGTTCATTCTGTGTAGTAAATATAAAATACTGTAAGCAAATGAAGCATACGCTTATTAAAAATTTTAGGTGAAAAAATTCCTGAAGACTAGAATTTTCACAGGAACGGTCTCAAATACATACTTTTTCCATAGCACTACTATTATACACAGTCTATTTGCCCTGTTTTTAACGCATAAAAAAGAAAAATATGCATGAAAAAGAAACATCCAGTTGGTATTTGACAAACAGAAAACAAAACAAAACCTGCCCTTTTCGAGCAATGAAATTCATGATTATATAGAACTTGAAGAGTAGACAGTAAACATAAATGATGATTCCAAACTCATTTGTAGTCAACAAATATGAACTTTTGAGAGTGGCAGAGAGAATTACAGCACATTCTCCCTCCTACTAGACTTAGTAATCGTGTATGTGACTATAGAAAAGCCAACAGAAGGTGTTTGTAACTTTCAGGGTCATTTATTCACGTTTATTGAGTGCTATTTTATAGCAGAAAAATGATCAGGGAGTGTCTTTTCAGACATTTTAGTTTCAGTTAATCCTCACAATATAGAAAAATGGAATCTGCAGTTCAGCGAAATTAAGAAACGTATTCAAATTCATACAGGTAATTGACATTGTTTTTATACTTAGGAGCGTCTTGCTTCAATGCCTATGTTTTATCAAAATTAATCTCATCCATTCCTTATCTCTCTCTAACATGGGTTTTAAGTGAGAAAACTGAAATGCAGGAATATTAAATAACTTGCTCACGATCATGCAACTAATATGTAACTTTGGGTGAAATTGTTAACAAAACCCTTTTCCCTGCTGCAGGAGAATCTGAACTGTTAATTCTGTAACTCTGTAACCCTGGATACCAACATAAAATGGTATTTGATCAACTAGATTGCACAGGCCTCACTGCTTGTATAAAACTAATCCCTGATGGGGAAATTGCCTCTGACCTGGGGGAGCTGTAAATGGACTAGAAAACCTGATAGGGGCTTTATGCTTTGGGCTTTCCTATGTGTGGTCACGGCTGTCCTTGAGGGGACTTTGAAAACTGTGCCTTTGGAATTGTTACAAAAGATATTGTCTCTTGTGGGGTGTGTAGCTTCTTCCTAAGCCAGACAGAGCAACTACCCTATGAGGCTCTGTCTTCTTGCACCTGGGCTGTCACCTGCGAAGAACATAAACCCCTGCAGTGCTCTGTCAGTTGCTCTGTGGACTGCTCGAGGACTCCTAATGAAAGGAACAACTGAGGCTCCTCTGCTGGCAAGCTGGGGCTCCCAGCCTCTACACTGACACCAGGTGTGGCCTCTGGTTGCCTTATAGGTCTGCATGCGTAGCTGAAGTTAAGAAGATCCCCTGCTGGGGGTTGCAGAGTGAGGAAGATGGGATTTGAAACGAATTCTCCTGTCTCAAGTGCCTTTTCTGCTGTATCCCAGCTGCTTATCTTACTGTGCTTTATTTTACCGTAGAAACTCATAGCTTGTTTACCTTTGCCACTACCATTTAACGCGATTCCAGTTTTGTGTCTAGGCAGCCTGTGACAGAGGCAGCTTTGACAGCATCTCTAGCATTGATGCGTAGCTGCCCAGCTTTCCCTCTATCTTTAATCTAGATATTTTCCTGGAAATTCAAATGAGATATATTCCTATTGATCATTTCAAAGCTTGTGTGGCATACAGATTGGTGGTTCCAATTTTGTTTACTTTTGGCCAATTGAAGAGAGAGATTTCATGAATTATTTTCTTCTCCTCCTTTTTTTTTTTCCAGGCAGCCTCCTGTCAGTGAGTCTCATTGGAGAATGTTGCTGCAGGACATGTTAACTATGCAGCAGAATGTTTACACATGTCTAGATTCTGATGCTTGCTATGAGGTAACTCTACATATGTAAATTGTTTTTTTAATTTAGAAATTTTGGTTGTTATAGTTTGTTTATTGAACACAAAGGTGATGACCATAAGCTTTACCATAAGTAATACTATTGAATAGTAGCTGGTAATTGAGTAACGCTTTATAGTTTGAGTACTTTCATACCTAACCTCCTATCTTCTCTATCTTTGTTCATTGCAACGCTATTTATTTAGTGGGTTAATCCTCAGCTAGGAAACTCTGAATCATACTTGACTCCCTCACTTCCATAGTTTTGCTGGTCACTAAAACTTATATATCTGAGAAAAATCTTTCAAATCTATCCTATCTTCAACTCTGTTAAATTGCAATAATCCTCTAACTTGTCTCTCTACTTCCATATCTCTTTCTAATTTACAGATTCAGAATATTCTAAAACAGACCTTTTCATGACACTCCCCTTCTTAAAATTTGCTGCTTGTTCCATATCAATAATCAGAAAGTATCCGTACCTCCTAGCATGGCATAGACAGCCACAGCAGGTTCCAGCCTCCCTGTTTCCTCTCACCCTTCATACTCTCCACCATGTGTCCTGTGCTCCAGTAGTTCCATCCAATCTGTCATGAATCTTTCCACACACGATGCTGTTTCATGTTTATGTGACTTTGCATACATTTTTCCCTTTGCCCGGATACATTCTTCTTTCCTCTATTTGAAAATTGCCAATAGGGCTGGCCCCGTGGCTTGGCGGTTAAGTGCGCGCGCTCCGCCACTGGCAGCCCGGGTTTAGATCCTGGGCGCGCACCGTCGCACGGCTTCTCCGGTCATGCTGAGGCCACGTCCCACATACAGCAACTAGAAGGATGTACAACTATGACATGCAGCTGTACACTGGGGCTTTGGGGAAAAAAAGGAGGAGGATTGGCAATAGATGTTAGCTCAGAGCCGGTCTTCCTCAGCAAAAAGAGGAGTGATTAGCACGGATGTTAGCTCAGGGCTGATCTTCCTCACAAAAAAAATAAAAAATAAAAAAAAAATAAATACCTGAATTAAAAAAAAAAGAAAATTGTTGATAATTTTCAGGACTCAGCTCACTAATTCTGCCCTCTAGCATCCTTCCTTTGTCCTATGTGACTTGTCTCTGTTACAGCCTTTCTTTAAAATGCAGTTACTTGTTTCTGTGTGCGTTTCTTCCACTTGGTCATGAGCTCCTATGTAGGCGTTATTGTGTCGTGTTTATCCTCATATCCCCGAGAGCATGTTATGTCTGGAACATAAAAGATACTTAAGAAATGGTTGTTAATTGATTGGAAGTGTAACCCAGGGGGATTTAATCACCGTTTTGGAAGGTATGTGTAATACTACCAAATTACTCAGGGTTTGTATGGAAAAATGATCCAACTAACCCGTTTTTAATGAGATACAGTCTAAAAGAGGGTTTCCATTTTAATTTTCCTCTCAAATATTTGAAGCCAGACATAAAATTGTATAGAGAATTTCTTGTGTTGCTCTGCTCTCACATTGCAAAGCAGGACCCATTGATAAAATGAGGCTTATAAAAATAGGTGTCTGTTTTGTGAAACTGGTTGGTATTTTAATTCAAGGGGATTTTAACAAGAGAGCACTAGTATAGACTGTTGAGAAATGAAGGGTTTTATATTTGAACTTTAGGTTTTTAAATGCTTGAATGAATGTGAAGTTTACATTGATGATTACAGTCTCAGACCGTGTACAACTGCCAGTAACTTCCTCTTTTGTATCTAAAGTGACACTTGAAGTCCATTTCCAGGAGAAAATAATCTGTATGCACATGGGGTCCAAAACCTGTCGTTAGTATGTCTGAAGTGTTTTTGAGTTGGAACGGCATTATTTTGGTATTTTTCTCTTTCTGATTCTGATTGAAAAATTGGCAATAAGTATATTACACTTGAACTAGCTCCTGTGTAATCTGTCATAACAACTTGACATATTAAATTGCTTTTGTTGTATTTTAACACCTTTTTATTAGGCTTTGATATTTTAATGACCTCTAGCCATTAGTCTCTCTCCTTTGAGAAAATATTTGAAAGCATGTTATAACAGTTTTGAAATGGTTCTAGAAGAAGGTAATATAGATTTGGCAAACTTACATTTTTAAATATTATTTTAGTATCTTGCAAGTTATGCTATATTGTCTTACTGACTTTTGGCCGTTATATTAGATTTTGCTGTCCTTGGAAAAATAATTTGAAAGCTCAATGGCACAATTTTGAAAATGTTAAAGATTTCTGTAGAGCTTGTAGAGCAGAAATCTATACTGTTCATTTTAGCAAAAGCTTTTAAGTAGAATGAGTGAATTGTATTTTTCAATATTGAGCATTGACTCTTTATGGCTTACTTGAATAAACCAAAGGAGTAGAGAAACTGTTACATCGAAGTCATTTGGGTCACTTGAAGTAAGCCATTTTCACCTGTCAGGTGTAAGTGATTAGGGTTGCTCATTGATAATTTGCTTTCTGACATAATATGTGTTTTATAGCAGATCCCTCATAGATATTGGTAATTTTATCCATATCAGTCATTTCAATAAAGGCTTGTCTAAAAATACCTTCCCCAGATGCCTAGAAACAAGTGAACATAAGGGGATCTTATGAAAATCGGATAGTCTTCTTAATTATAAGGAAACTTTTGCTTCTCCATGAAATCTTCTTTTTTCATCTTTTGCTTCTATTTCTGTGCTATCCTCATCCAATAGTGGCATGATACGGAAGAGCACTCTTGGAGAAGTTCTTGTACTAATTATATACTGACATTATTACTGTAGGTTTAAAAGGATCTCTTTGTGTAAGACTTTTCTGGAGTAAGTAAATAATCTCAATTATAGAATAAACTTTATGTTAATTGATGCTATTAGTTGCTTATGGAATACAATGATATTTGCACAGATACCTCCATCAGTGGCTCTTGTTTTATTTAAATAGTTTTTAATTCACATATTGGAAAAAACCTCAGTGTTATATGATATATTACAATTTTAATGACGAGGTATAAGTATAAACGTTTGCAGCTTGGCTCTTTAGTTTGTAAGACTGAATTTAGATGCTTTAAGCAGTCATGAATCATATGTATCATATTCAAAGATTTTCTTTTAAAAAATTGAAATGATTATAAATAGTTTAAGCAGAATGGGCCCTGTAGAGTGTGGAACGGTATGTCTAACGAATTCTTGTTTTTAATGAGTATGAATTGTAGATATTTTACTCAACTATTCATTGTAACACATTAAAATATTATGCTTAATATTGGTTTGTTCAGTTAAATTATTACTTCTTCTTCCTAAAAGATGGATTTTTATTTTATTGAGGTAAAATTCACATAACATAAAATTAACCATTTTAATGTGTACTTCATTGTCTTTTAGTACATATGCAATGTTGTGTAACCTCTACCTCTAGGATGGATGTATTTTCACTTTGTTTTGTTTGGATATCAGAGCCTTCATTTTGTTGAGAACTGAATCCTCCCTCTTTAAGCACTAATTCTAGTTTTTTCTTTTTCCCAGATATTTGCAGAAAGCCTTCTGTGTTCCAGTCGCCTTGAAAATATCCACCTGGCTGGGCAGATGATGCACTGCAGTGCTTGTTCAATAAATCCACCAGCTAGTGTAGCCCATAAAGGGAAAACCCAGTACAGGGTCAGTTACAAAAAAAGTATTGACTTGGTTTTGGCTGCCAGCAGAGAGTACTTCAATTCTTCCACCAGCCTCACTGATAGCTGCATGGATCTGGCCAGGTGGAGTAACTCTGTATTCTTCCATAACAGGGAGGGAAGTCAGAAGACACAAACTCCATTGTTGGTTTTATTCTTTACTTGACACAATATATTATCACAAGTAAGGATTGACTGTATTGTATGGGCGTAGTTTTTTATTGCTTGAAAATAGAAAGAAAACTTAATTATGTTATAAATATTCATCAACTTCCTTGTGACCCTTGTTCTCTAGCATGCTTTCCCACAGTCATTCTTGCTGATTATCTGCAAGGTTGTACCTCTTTTTGGTGGAAGAGATTCATGTGGTAGCCTGCAAATTCGAGTTCTGGAAATTTTCAGCACATTTAGGTGATGGCTGTATCCTTCACATGTCTTCTGCTCTCTTTAGGGACAGGGGACGTGATTAGATGATAAAGCTCAAAGTCTCTTCCAGGTGGAAATTTCTGAACTGTGAATTCAGTTCCTCTCTTGGCCTCTTGTACTGGAAATTTAATGTTCATCTTTTTACTCTTGATTATTAGGAGCTTTTTTAGCGTAAGGAACATTTGCCCTTTGCCTGTCTTAAATGTTTTAACTATGTAGCCAAGTTTTTATTATATATAATTTATCTTTCAAGTTGCTATTCAGAATTTTTAAAAAATTTGATTGTTATTCTTTTCTCTTATAGTTTGTCTTTTGTGTTGTCTTTTGGTTTTATTTTTACATTGAAATTGTAGGCCCATTTGGAATTTATTTTGATGTAATGATTGTGATTGCTTTTTAGATTTATTTTTCCCCTGAAATGACTAGTAGTTGTTTCAACTCTGGCAAAACTTTTTTTCCCCAGTGATATCTTATCACAGAGAGAATCATGTTTTCTCAAACCGTGTTATTGAACTTGACAAAGTTGTTTAAAATAGTTAGATTTTTTTCTTTTCTCCCAAGGGATGTATTTCTATTTCAGATGATGAAAATATCAAATAAGATAGCCTTTGAAACTGGGACTTGTGTTTGACCTAAATCTTTCTGGCAGGTGTTCTCAGAGATCATTTTAAAAACTATGCTTCCTGTATTTCCCTTTCATTCCATCCTTTTTTCTCCCACAAGGACACACCTTAATTTTAAAAAGATATCATATGTGTGTAATGTGGCACCAAACTGATTGCGACCTATGAGCCAGGATGTAATTAAATGTTCACAGTTGTATTTTCTATAGACAATAACCCATACATTCTTACTCATTAAATTATTTACTAACTGTTTTGTTTTTTTAAAACATTTTTATTTATTTATTTATTTTCCCCCAAAGCCCCAGTAGATAGTTGTGTGTCATAGCTGCACACCCTTCTAGTTGCTGTATGTGGGACGCGGCCTCAGCATGGCCGGAGAAGCAGCGCGTCAGCGCGCGCCCGGGATC